ACAAAAAAAAATAAAATAAAAATTAGTTTTAAGTTACATGAAACGTGAGAAGCATATTTTCAATTTTCTTTTATGAACTGGAAATCCCAGAATGACTTTACCCTTGACTTCACCTTGGACAATAAACAACTCTAAAGTCTAGTGTCCACTCCCCAATGAAGGGTGTGAGTGGGTTGATGTATAATGACTCACCCCCACCTTAGAGGTTGAACAACTCATGGGGTGGAGAGAGACGTTTTGGTGGACAAAACTATACCTCTTCCCATTTAATGATGACATTTTTTGTATTCAGGTGGTAAGGGGTGGAATAAAATAAAGTCTATTGCTTCATAAAACTGATAATGCAAATTACAAACACTTTAATAATAATTAAAAGATTATTTAGAAATGATATTAAAATAAATGTAATGGTTTAATTTTGATTAAAGAATACAATACACCTATAATAAGTGTTTATTGACATTTCTATCATATATAACTGTCAAATTGTTTGCTTCATTATTAAATAAAATCCATATAAAGATAAAGCTTTTCCTTTTAGCAATTTAATTAGAATAAAGCCAATTGCACTAGGAAATAAATTAACAATAACAATGTAAACTTTTTTTTTTTTAAAAAAAAAAAGGGTTTTAAAAATGATATCCATTCATCTCCTTCATATATACTTTCTATTTTTATGATAAGAGATAGTGTTACTGAATGGAATTGCGAACTTTTCTTGCAGTGAAAGCGAGATTTCCGAGATAAAACTTGCCTGACAGGTCAATAGGTACAACATATCACTATTTGTTTGTCTGAACTGGAGCAAGATTGGGATAAATAGATGAGTTCAACGTCTGTATGTATCTCTAACCTTTACTGCCAAGCCACTACTAATTACACAATTCGTTTGCTGATGTTACATTTTTATCGTGAATATTTACGAGTATCCTAAACAGAAACTAGTTCCTTGACCTTCTATGAATCTGAAGAAAACTTTGAAATATCTATGTGTGTAGCCTACATTGTTTAATAATCTTTACATTAAGTTATATTTAGAAATTAAATCTAAATAACTTTGTAACATTTTACTTGTAAACAGAACAGAAAGAGTACATAGTAACTAATACCAGTCGACCCCCCTATAACACTGTTGATTATTCCGTTTTATATGAATTCCATGTTGTACGAGTCACTTAGATTTTACAAATACGTGTGCCGTTCACAGCCTGGCACACGTATTTGTAAAATCTAAGTGACTCGTACAACATGGAA